GGGAGAGGTGGCCCCTAGTATTTGGGGATTTCTGTGGAAACTGGATTTACTGGGCACACATCACCCAGGTGAGGGCAGGGACACTTGCCTGGGCTTGCTGCAGCCCTGTGCCAAAAATGCCGGGGGGACAGGGGTGCTGGAAGTGCTGGGGAGGTCAGGGGGTGCTGAAGGTGCCAGAGGTGCCGGGGTGCCAGAGCAGAGAGGGGTGCCATGCCCACTGGGGCTGCTGCCAGGGATGCTGCCCCCGCCGGGGTGCCCAGGCTGCGGGGCTGGGCTGCTGAGCCTGAGAGAGAGACAGGAGCGATCGCCAGTGGTCACCTCCATTCCCTCCCCCACGGAGCATCCCTGGGCTGCAGGGGTCAGGGTCTCTACCTTGGGGGTAGAAGGTTTCGGGATGGACAAAAGGCTGAAGCAGCTGGGTGTGCCGGGGGTCGCACGGTGGGAGCCACGGGGCTGGCAGAGCCATGGTCCATTGTTGGCTGCTAAGGACTCTCTGGGGTTGCTGGCTCTGGCTGCTTCTGTTCGGGGGTCTCCCAGGAGGGAATGTGGGGGCTCCCCATGTTCCGCCCTACCCCCAACAGCACTTCCTCCCCCTCCCACACAGGCACAGAGCTCCCTCCCTCACCATTCTTGGTGCGCCTTGGGGTTCTAAAAAATCTAAAACAAAAAAACCCACCTTCCCCCCACCCCTCCCTTCTTCCCCGGGCTCAACTTCACCCCCAGCTTCTCCACCTCCTCCCGCCAAGCAGAGCAACGGGACGGGGAATGGGGGTTGGGGTCAGTTCATCACACGCTGCCTCTGCCGCCCCTTCCTCGTCACGCTTCCCCTGCTCCAGCGCGGGGTCCCCCCACAGCAGACAGCCCTCCACAACCTTCCTCAGCCTGGGTCCTTCCCACAGGCTGCAGTTCTTCATGCACTGCTCCAGCATGGGTCCATCCCTCCCATGGGGTGCAGCCCTTCAGGAGCAGATGGCTCCAGTGTGAGTCCCCACAGGGTCACAGGTCCTGCCAGGAGCCTGGGCTCTCCCCAGAGTCACAGACTCTTTTGGGCATCCCCCTGCTCCGCTGTGGACCTCCATGGGCTGCAGGGGGACAACCTGCTTCACCAGGGGCTTCACCATGGGCTGCACCATGGGCTGCACCATGGGCTGCAGGGGAATCTCTGCTCCAGCGCCTGGAGCTCCTCCTCCCGCTCCTTCCACACTGACCCCGGTGCCTGTGGGGCTGCTCCGCTCGCATCCTCTCACTCCTCTCTCCCAGCTGTTGCCCAGCAGGAGGAACTGTGAGCTGCCCCTCACAAGCTGCATCCGCCGCCTCCTTGTATCCCATGGCAAATGCATTTGTGACTATTGCCTGTCCAAAGGCCACCAGCTCACGCCTGTGTCCCTGCTGCCGTGCCAGGAGCTCCTGTGATGTGAGCGAGGCTTTGGGGGCTGATCTGCTCCATCCTGGACCTGCAGCTGGCCCGGAGGATTGTCTTCCAGGTGGAGTTCGACCTCTGCTTCTGGAGAGGAGCATCCCGGACCAGATGAGCTGGTTCACCACTGGGTGAAGAACCGTCTGGACGGCGCGGCCCAAAGGGCTGCAGTGAACGGGGCTGCGTCTGGCTGGTGACCGGTCACCGGCCGTGTTCCGCAGGGCTCAGTCCCAGGGCCGGCGCTGCTCAATATTTTGATCCGCGACCTGGCGGCGGGAGCTGAATGCGCCGTTAGCGAGCTCGCCGACAGTGCTGGGCGGGGAGGTGCGGTTGGCTCCCTTGAGGGACAGGAGGCCTCGCAGAGGGATCCAGGTGGATGGGAGCACCGGGCAGTCATCAACGGCGTGAAATGGAACGGGAACGAGCCTCTCAGTGTTGGACAATGCCCTTCATGGTGCACTTTAATGTCAGGTCAGCCCTGAAGCGGGCAGCGAGCTGGACAAGGTGATCCTCGTAGGGCCCTTCCAGCTGAAATCTCTCCTCTCCTCTCCTCTGATCAATTCTGATCATATTTGCCCTTTCAGCATCCATCCGAGTGGGAAGGAGGAGGGATTGGAGTGAACGTGGAGGGGTAGGGGGGATGTGAAGGCAGAGGAGGAGGGCTCTGGCTGCGGGGGTGTGCAGGGAGGGGGATGCGCCGGGGCACAGGCAATCCCAGGGGAAGGGAGCCAGGTGGATCTGAGCATGCATGGGGGAGGATGGCAGAGGTCTGAAGGTGCAGAGCGGGGCTGGTGGGTGACGGGAGCTGACAGGGGAGTGGAGGAGCTCTGAAGGATTGGGGAGGGGGCTGGAGGGGACCTGAAGTCATGAACGGGAGCAGAGAGGGACATGTGGTAAGGGCTGGGAGGCAGACAGAGATGGGTTGCATGGAGGTGGTCCCTAAAGGCAAAAGCATTTCTTCCTCAGGCTGGTGGTCATTGGAGGAGGCTTAACAGCCTCCAGCCTCCTTAACGGCCTTAGGATTCAAATCTTGCTTGGATGCCAAGTGCTTTTGATTGCCACATTAAAATAACCAACCAAGCCCTCGCCAGGGGTACCAGAGAGCAGACGTGGCAGAACTGTCCCCTCCGGTGCTGTGGGGCTTCTGACTGATGGTCCCCTATGATGCTGGTCGCCTGGACTGCTGGGTCTGGGGCCTGACTCTGCCCCGTGCCTGTGACGCTGCCTGAGGTTGCAGCGGGACGTCTGACATCACAATGACAGCTGCCCTTGCCCCCGCCTGCCCCCGGGCCCTCCCCACACGTCCCCGAAGGGCAGTGGAGGAGGAGCAGGAGGAGAGCGGGGAAGCTGGTGTTTCCTAATGGAAAGCACAGCCAAAATGATGAAGTTTCCCTTCATCAAGCTCCCAGCGCTGAGGGTGCTCAGCCTGGATGGTAAGGATTCAGGAGCTCCTCCAGCTGGGTTCCCGCACAGGGTACTGCCAAAATTGTGGGCTGCCTTGGGGACCCCAGCTGGTCCTGGCCGGGGAGACCCTGGGGATGCCACAGCCCCCCAGGGGCACAGCACCGCCCTCCTGGTGGAGGTCCATGCTGACATTTCCCTAGGGAGAGGGTCAGCTCTGCAGAGCAGCATCAGAAGGGGAAGGGGAAGGGGAAGGTCGAGGTGTTGTGTACCTCCCTTGGGTCTCTAGAGAACCCTGCAATGTCTGTGTCAGAAATTGGAGGCTTTGCTTCCAGCCACCTCGGCTGGGCTCCTCTGCTGGGCATCCAGCCACAGACTCTTTTTTTCCCCACTGGCACTTCTTGTCTTTCCCCACCCTGGAGCAGGGGGACCACTTCCCCCTGTGGATGTGAGACAGTGGGGTGCCCATGCCCAAACTTCGGCTGCCCCTGACCAAGCTCCAGCCTGCCCCTGGGCTCACGCTGAGGCTGAGTCAGCAGTCAGCCAAGAGCTGGGCTCTGCAGCCCCGGCTGCGCACGTCCTTCTGCCATGTGCTCGACTACAGCTGGGTCCGTCAGCTCTGTGGCTGGGATGGTGCTGAGCGGTGGTAAGCCCGCTGGCTCACAGCCTGACTTGTCTTGCTCTTGCTTTTCAGAAGTCCTAAGAATTTGGGACAGTGTGTCCGAGTACATGCTACAGCAGTTTGCACTGAACAAGGTGAGGTTTTCCTCCTCTTCCTCCTGGTACCTGGAAGCTTGCAGCAGCCCAGGCAGCCCCCCTGCCATGGAGTGGGGGCTCCTTGGAAGTCTTTTGAGGTCCTCTAAGAGGACTCGGGGGCTGGCTTCTCTCAGCCTGTCATCATCAGCGTAGCACTTGGGCAAGGCGCAGCCTTCTGCAATGCAAGCTTTCCGTAGAGCTCCTTCGGTGGTCTTGGCTGCAGAGGAGGCCAGGAGAAGAGTGCAAGCCAAACGCCTCTCCAGCCTGGGATCCCATTCCCAGCCACTGTTTGTGCCAGGACTTTGCTGTCCTTGCTGGGAGAAAGCTCCTTGGAGCAGAAATCCTCTTTCCTGCTCCCGCAGAGCATTGCTCTCCCTCTCTGTGTGGTCAGGCGGGGCGCTCGCTCTGCCGTTCCCACTGCTGCTGCAGCT